CCTTGGTATCAAATTCTTAACCTTCTCCCTCCCTTATTTTGCACAGCTTTTTAGTAAAGTGGAAACCTTGTATGCGGAGATATCAGATGTGCTTGAACAATTGGAAACAAAGGTTTTCTCTCCTGGGGCTGGAAATGAGCTGTCAGATGCCTATGACATTCATAACCACATACTTGATCTAAAAAACACTCTTCTAAGAGAAAAAATGGATTATCATGTGAGTAGACTAATTTTATGGTGCATGGTGTTGGAGGAAAGGGTTGTTTGTGCATATGCTAATTCTTACAGTTTTCTGATGAATGAATATACTTGTATGTATCTAAGTTCCTGATCTATTTCCTTTTTTTTTTTCCTTCATGTGTGTATGTACAGACTTTGCTAAAATCAGCCGATGTGACTGCTGAGCCAGGAAATATGACTTTAGACATTTTGGAACTGAATCGGCTGAGACGTTCACTTCTAATTGGTTCACATGTTTGGGATCACCAGCTATCCACATTGGATTCTCTTATTAAAAGAAGTCTTAGTTCTAAGGTTAAACAAGAAAGAGAATCATTTGCTGATGTTAATAATGAATTAAGAGTTGACTCACTTCATAAGGACCAAAGTTTTGACTCTTGGCTGGAGCAAAATAATTCCCAGCCTTCAAAATTGCACGAGTCCCATGAAAGTCATAAGCTTGTAGAGCCAGATGACCAAGTTGAGTCTCGTCATGGTTCTGAAGCATCTGCGTGTTATCCTGATGGGGAAGAACCACATTCCGATGGTGAATTTGTTTACAACAATACATTATCTGACTGTATACCATCAAAGGAATCCAATCTTTCTGAAAAAATAGATTTGGCATGGACTGGAACTGATCAACCTGTCCCGGTAAACTCTTCCTTTAAAAGGTTGACACAACCACTGAGAGTTCATTCTTTTGATTCGGCATTAAGAGTTCAAGAAAAATCAAGAAAGACCTGCCCTCATCTTTACACATGTCAACGCATCGATCTTTTCACGCTTCTGGAGACTACAGGAATATGGTTAGAGACCCCATCTCAAATGTGTTGCAAAGTAACTTTCAAACGTTGCCGTGGGAATCACAGAAGATAAATCTGATCTTGAGCTCCACGCCATCATTCCTTTCTTCCATTTCTCACATCGCTGAAGGTGCTCGGTTGCTGCTTCCCCAAACATGTCACGGTGATAGAGTTATAGCTGTATATGACAACGATTACTCCAGCATAATATCCTACGCTCTTAGCTCTAAGGATTACGAAGATTGGGTTTCTGGGAAGTCTGATCTGCTGATCTGCATGATGGGAACTGGAATTCTAGCGAGAGAAACAAAGAAGATTTAGCTAATTCCAGCTTTTCTGCATGGGCCACTTTGGACTTGGATTATATCAATTATGCTAGTTATGGCTCTGATGATGCTCCTCCATCTTCAATTAGTTCTTTTATTCGGGACAACAAAAAACCTTTGCATGCACAAATCTCTTTCGGCGACGATTCTTTGGGTGCTGGAGGTAAAGTGAACTTTTCTGTCACTTGCTATTTTGCAAAGCAGTTTGATTCACTTAGAAAAAAGTGTTGCCCTAATGAAGTTGATTTCGTGCGATCCCTTACCCGTGCCCGGAGATGGAGTGCACAGGGAGGGAAAAGTAATGCATACTTTGCCAAGTCATTAGATGAAAGGTTTATTATTAAACAAGTGACGAAGACCGAGTTAGAATCATTTGAAGAGTTTGCACCTCAGTATTTCAAATACCTGATAGATGCAATGAACTCGGGTGGCCCAACTTGCCTTGCCAAAATTCTTGGTATTTATCAGGTAAGATTCATACTTGATCACATTATACAAGTTCCAGATTGCTGATGAAATGTAAATTTTTTGGTTTATAATATATATAAATGTTGCTTTAACAAACACAGGTCACTGTAAAATACCCAAAGGTGGCAAGGAAACAAAGATAGATCTGATAGTAATGGAGAATCTCTTTTACAAGAGAAACATAACCAGGGTGTATGATCTTAAAGGGTCAGAAAGATCTAGGTACAATGCAGACACAACTGGGGCTAACAAAGTGATGCTAGACATGAATTTGTTAGAAACATTGAGAACAAATCCCATATTTCTCGGAAGTAAGGCTAAGCGAAAACTCGAGAGAGCTGTGTGGAATGACACATCCTTTTTGGCGGTAAGCTAAAATAATTGGTAAATTTTTTGTCATTTTTAGTATTAAAAGTTTGTTAATGACTTAGACCTGTGTGATTGTTGTTGCTGTTTCAGTCAGTTGCTGTTATGGATTACTCATTGCTGGTTGGGGTGGATGATGAGAAAAAGGAACTGGTATTGGGGATAATTGATTTCATGAGACAATACACATGGGACAAGCATTTAGAAACATGGGTTAAAGCTTCTGGAATACTTGGGGGGCCTAAAAATGCTGCCCCCACAATTGTTTCACCAAAACAATACAAGAAAAGATTCCGGAAGGCCATGACTACCTACTTTCTCACCTTACCTGATCGATGGTCTTGATAGTTGATAAGATCTTTTCATTGATTCTTTAAGATCTATATGTATCCATGGTGTAAACTACCTACTTTCTCACCTCCCCTGATCAATGCTCATCTTAATAAAATATTCTCATTTGATTTTTCTTAGATCTGTATGTATCCATGGTGAAAACTCCTTTGGATACATAAAAAAGTGTATTTTATTATACTTTTCTTTAAATACTTCATTTGTTTATTATGGTCAAGATCTTGCAGTCTTTGTTTATAATAGTAATACGATAAACACGAACTGAAATTTAAACAACTGCGGAATTTAATTACAAACAAGGTGAAGTTTCTGAGTTTGAATCTGGGTGAAAATTTTCACTATAGTAATATCAGTAGCTGAGATAGTTCTTATTATTGATTTTATTTGCCATATATGTTACTACTATTTTAATAATTTGGAGCACGACATAGCAATGTTTTTAAGCTAGAAGTTAAGTTTAATAATTTAGGTAATTTCTTATTGCACTCAATGCATTTGTTTTCTATCGTGTGGTTTTTCACATATGTTTTCAGATTTCGGAAATATATCTCCGGACGCGATTTATTCTTGATTAAATTGTTAATAATTTTTTGGAGATATATTTTCAGAACAATTTAAACCTTAAATGACCACAATATATCTCCCATACTCCATTTCTATTTGAATATTTTTAGAGATGCATCTATGAGAGATGCATCTATGAGAATTTTTCGGAGATATATCTCTAAAGTGTATCAGAACCATTTTTTTTTTAAATATGTACTGTGTATTTGTTCGCAGATGAATTATAAAATAACAGACATACCAAAATAACATAACAATATAGTAATAGGATAAAGACTTAAGCATAGAGTGCCTGGCAAAATGTAGTAACAATGTAAGGAAAATCCATCATACGTCACGAAAATCCAAAATGTAATAACAATGTCAGGAAAAACGTACAAATTATAGTACTGAAACAAAATAAATACAACCAACTACTGGGTATGCCTGACAACCTTTCCACTGCCTCCTCTGCCTGGTCTGTCTTCTCAGCCATCAATCCCCCCTATCCTCGCACGATGTCTGCGGTACAAAAGTGCTTCCCCGTGCCTTCGCAATAATGACATCCAGTATTCGCTTGACAGCAGACCCTTCAGGGAAGATACCATCGCCAATGCCTGCCCGCGCCATCTCTACTATGCGACGACAACGAGGCAAGACATCCTCAGTATGATCTAGCTGAGTCTGCTCCCCCTCTAGAATCTCCTGATGAGCAGGTCTCAGTGGATCTCCTGGAGCAGTCAGCACCATGTACGGATGTTAGACCTTGAAGAACCACTTGATGTATCCATTGATGTAACTCTAGTCATTCGACGCTTTGGTAGCCCGATCCGTCATCTAGTGTAATCGACATCTCACCATGCGAGAGATGAAAGGAAGATGTCTTAGAGTGCCATCGCTCCACGAATGCATTAAGAATCCCATGGTTGACCAAACTGTAACCAGTCAAGCATAGGTCACTCAACCTAGAAACGGTCAAAATCGACTGAAATCACTACTCATCTGGCTGGTGCAATGCTAAAATCTTCCGCCCATGGTTCATAAACTTCTAGGGATCACACATATGAGAATTTCTAGAAATAATCAATGTCTATAAGAATCAATATTAGAAATAATCAATGCTAGCAATTTAAATTAACGTAAATAAATATAGTAACAATGTGACTAATGTTACCTCTTCGTCCTAGATATGTCTGGCAGTGTGGTCTCGACATCAACAACATCTCCCTCCGGAGGTGGTACCAGTGCATCAGGATCATCAGCAACCGCACCTTCCGGAGGTGGCACTGGATCAAAAGGAGGTGACACAAGTGCATCCCGACGCCTGCGGGAGGATGGAGGAAGTGACACGTCATCTGTTGCATCCCGTGGCCTACAGGAAGAAAAGTAGAAGGTGGCGTGGGTTGAGATGTAGATGGAGTGGCCTGAGGCGAAGGCTGAGCCCTAAGAGTGGACTGAATCTCAAGAGTAGACTGTGCCTTAGCAATCAACGCCTCTTCATGACCAGAGGTACCTGCTGCCTCCAGAACCTACTGGCTCCGCTCCGCCGAACGGATGCGTGTTGTACAACCTATCCATGCCTCAATTGGTCGACTCTTTCAGCCATTATGCCTGCAAGGTATAATTAACCGTACAATGAGTTTACACAAATGAATAACACAAACAAGAAAATTATAAAACAAAAAGAAGAAAAAATAGACAGAAAATTTCAAAGATACATCTCCAGAAAAATTCAATGTTTCATGTACTCTAGGTGATTCTGGAGATACAACTACGAAAATATTCCGCAGATGTATCTCCGGACTCACCCAGAATACATGAAACGTTAAATTTTTCGGAGATGTATCTCCGAAATTTTTGAAACTCAGAGGTCGCAACAATGGTGTCCTCTGCCCCTCAGAATGAGAAATTTGAAGTCCTAATCGTCCATTTGAGCCAACAAATAATATATACACTTACTTTAAACTATATGTCAGTTGATTTATAAACATTTTTACACCAAACAATGCATTCTAACTTGTTTACAAGAATATTCGAATATTATCGAAAACTCAAAAAATTTACCCGAATTATATGATTTGAAAGATGTTGAGTAATGTATTGGATGCTACTTGATGATTACTTGAGTTTTGGACAAATGAAATTAAATTTGGTGAAGTCGAAGATATTTGGGAATGAGAGAGATGAAGATGTTTGTGAATGAAAATGAAAAAGTGAGGGAGGAGAAGAGTCTGACGCGATAATATGCTCCAAATTGTTCTGGAGATATATTTCTGAAATAGTTCAACGTTCACTTAAGTTTTAGTGCGTCTGAAAATATATCTCCGAAATATTTTAACGTTCAATTAAATTTTAGTGCGTCTAGAGATATATCTCCGAAGTCTAAGAGCATATAAGAAAAATCATATGATGTGTAAAAAGTCTATAAAATACAAAAAGAAATCTTGTTAATTTAAAAAATAATGTTGTGCCGAATATGTTCAATAATTTGTCTGTACAATATTTGGTTGATATCTAGAGGCAATCTACAATGATGCAGTGACAAATTTAGAAACTTTGATTAGTTAAGATGATATCACATGCTATATAATGTTTATACAAAATTCTGTACACGTTATACAAAATTCTGTACACGTGATAAAATAATTTCAAGTATCATAAGGGAAAGATATTAGAGATTGTAAAAACTACTATTAAATATCAAAATTGTGTATGTGATTTGTTATCAATGTATATTCTAAATGTTTTTTTTAATGATTAAAGAGCTATGTGGGAGATAGCCTAAGGGATAAATGTGGTGTTTTTGGAAATCTCAATTTTTAAGATTATCTTTAGTGGGAGTATTTTAAGCGGATAAACTAAGATATTTTTTGTAGGTCCAAAGTGATTTGTAGGATTTAAAAAATTTACAGTTAATTTGAGTTGTTTTTACTTTAATGATAGTTGCTTATAAAAAACTAAAGCTTGACCCTATGTGTTATATTTTTTAATTGTAATTATTTTTTTATTGAAGTTACTATTAATTTAATTATTTTAAATAAAATACATAAAATATTCATTGCAAATTTTTTGTGGGTCCAAATTATATATCATACTTTAGCTATATAATTATCGGAAACTAAAAGTTAGTGAATTAAATGTCATGTCATAACCATTCCAATGCAAATTTTTTATAATCATCGTTAACTATAAAAAATTTAACTATTAAAAACCTGCATTAAAGATGCTCTAAGGGGATAAGTGTGTTGTGTTCTTGGAAATTTCAATTTAATTTATTCTACTGTTGAGAGGATTGGTAATGATGACGATGTTCGTTAGGATGAGATGATTGAATGCTTTGTTTCACAAACTTCATTTCTTTGATGGGGCTTATCGACCTCCCACTCTTAGGTAAGAAATTTACTTGATTTCAACCTCGCAGGTGGGGTGGGAGGGGATGCTAGTCGACTTGATAGGATTTTGGTGTTAGATGCGTAGTGGGAGGAGTAGGACAACTGAACGCATTGGTTTACAAACTTCATTTTCATGATGGAGCTTATTGATATTCCACTCTTAGGTAGAAAACTTAATTAGGGGGAAGGGGAGAGTGATGGTAGTCGGCTTAATAGGATTCTGGTGTGAGGAGTGAGGTGCTATGATTCACTGTCCCATTATCATCTGTTATGCCAATCAATGGGGTCCAAAATCTTTTAGATTCAATATAAGAATTTTGGTGAGGAGGTTCATAATAGTTTGATTACTTTTAATTGGCAGGGTGGAAAATATTTCTTCTAAAAGAAAAACTCAAGCCTCTTAAAAAAGTTTTGACGGTTTGAAACAAAGAAGTCTTTAGAAACATAATTCATCGTATCGATACCCTCAGATTGGAGATTAGAAAATTCAATTTTAAAATGGATTAAAATATCATCCAACAATTTGAGTTAATTGCGAGGTCAAGGGCTATAACAAATCTTTAGTTCTTGTTGAGAATTAAAGAATCTCAACTATTTCAAAGATCTAAGGCTATATGGTTACAGAAAGGAGACACAAACACATGGTTTTTCATGCTTGTGTCAAAAGGAGAATAAAAGAAACTCTATCTTGGCCCTTCATGTTGGGGATTCATGGTTGAAAGGAGTTGTGACTTGATTTTTATCTTAGCATTTTAAGGAACCATTGTTTGACCGACCTCATTTAGATGAGGTGAATTTTTCTTCTGTAGATTCAGAGGATAATCAGTGTCCTAACTCTTCTTTTTTTCCCATTGAAATTGATCTGACGGTTTCTTAATGTGATAAGAGTAAAAACCCAAGTCCAGATGGTTTAACTTCTCTTTCTTTAAAAAAGTTATGGTATCTTCTTAGAGGGAATTTGATTCTCATGTTTGAACAATTCATTGTACAACATCTATTTCCCGTAACTTTTCGTCTTATTTTGTCCCTCTTATCCTTAAGATTGACTCGCCTACTTCT